GGCACCTTTATCTCTAATGATACTCTTTTACCATTAACTCTACATTATCTGAAAATAATATAACCATTCATGCTTTCTTATACTTATTGTTTGCATGGTATACCTTTTCCATCTCTTGTTCTCTCTCTCTTTCTTATATCTTTATTTCCCACCTCCCTTCCTGCCTCTCTACCTCCCTTCCTTTCTTCCATTTCCTTGTTTCTTTTTGATAGTAAAGATTGATTTATTAACAAAGCCAAAGTACACTCCCAGGGTTGCAGTGGGTGGGCAGTTGAATAAGGACCAATCACATGGAAGCTGTTGTGCTTATGTTTTTTTCTTGTAAGGTGGCATTTCTAAATGGCAGGGCACTGAGGGTCCTTCTCAAATGGCTGCAATTGTACATGGGTGGCTCAGGTATGGGAAGGTATAAACCTATGCATTTGATCCTCATTGTCTTTTCCATTTTATCTTCTTTGTCCTTCCCAGTTTTAAACTTGACATGGGGAGTGGACCCTATAGGGAGGATATAGAACCATTATCTTAATCATTTGATCCTGGGTATAGGCTGACTGTGGGTGATGGGGTTTTGAGGATCCAGAGCCTTGCTCTCTGTCAGGGCACATGAAATTTGATTAGGCTCAGGGGGAGGCTGCTGAGAAAATGGTCTTTTTATTGTTGGCTCAATAAGACTATTGTTGTCACCAAATGAAGTGGACATCGTATCCATGGGTAAAAAGATGCTAAAGGGGAGTTGTTGGTATTATCTAAGGACAAGAATACTCTGTAAACTGGAGGTTAGAAATTTAACAAGGGTGTTAAAAATTAGAGATCAAAATGTGAGAAGTAGCAGGATTAGGAATAGGGGGCAGGAGGTATGTATGATTGAACAGTCTTAGTCAAAGGTGTGATCTGGTTGATCATTATCTCAGAATTGGTCAGACATGGCCTTGACTCTTATCTCAAGAAGCTTATTGATCAGTCCTGTTGTTCCAGGAATCCAAGATGATCTAAGAAGATAGTGGCTTAGAACAAAGGCGACAGATATGAAATGGAGATAGAGCATTTGACAGTCCATGTGAAAAGTTACTGTTGTTTAGCAAAAGCAGCTTTAAGTACCTGGTATAATTTCCCCTTTGTGCTCAATCTTGAGGGAATTAAGGTTGCAGCCAAACTAGCTTTGTAGCTAGATTTCTTGGCCAGGTATAAATTAATATATGCAAAGGGAATAAACTGTAATGACTAAAATACACAATTTAAAAGCCTGTTATTTAAGCCTAATACTAGAAACACCATTATCAAGTAGAATACTAAAGGGAGTAAAAGTCAGAAGATATGAGTTAATGTTCTGTTTGAGGTGCCTGGAAGGGCTTTAGTGTCAATAGCCATCTATAAGTACTCTTTATCCATAACTTCTCAGCTGTAGTTACTTTTGGAAAGGTTTGGCACAAATGACTAGCTCATGATCCACCTGTTTCAACCTTCCCTAGTGCTGGGAGTGTAGAGGTATACCACCATGCCCAGTGCAACTCCATTTTTATTCTGAAAATTTCTCCCCCAGTCTTTGGACAATTATCTCTGAAAACATTGCTGATTAATTACTCTGTGGCTTGGCTTTAATGATCCTTTACTGCTGGAGTGAGATTTCCTGATTAGTCTTCTGTCATTGCCAGGATGATACTTCCCAGTTGGTCTGACTTGATCCCATGTTGAGGGAGAAGTGACACACAGATGGGAGTCAATGCCAATGATCCTTTTGGCCAAAAAAAACAACTAAAAGGTTTAGAGAGTGCTGTTAGACTGGGGCTACCTGAAGTCTGTTGGTACGTTTTACTCATAGGTGATGTCTCAAAACACTACTGAGACTGTTTTGTTAGATGTTGCACCTCTTCAGAATGTCAACAGATAATAATTGCCTAGTTTTTCAAGGAAAATACAAGAGAAAATCATTGATAGCAAATATTTAAAGAAAACTAACTCATTTGACAAATAAGTGCTTGTAAGAGTCATTCTCCATGTGTCTGATTATAAATTCTTCAGAGAAGTACCAAACTATAGATAACAAAAATATAAAATAGCCATAGTTAGAATTGTGAAGAGCAGTTGTACCACTAACCATTCAATTTTGAGGACACCAGCTTGATAAAATGTTTTCCTAAATTTTGCATTTTAGAAGACATATTTGGGGAACATAAATGCATTTATCATTTAAAGGAACCACCAAAAATTAGCATCATAGATATACAAATCTGCAGTATATTTGTGTATATAAATTATATCAAGAGCGCACTTGCTAGTCACTTTGCATATATCAGACCCACATACCTTTAATGTTTGCATAACATTTAGATAAAGTTTAGACATATAGATCTACACATTTCTAGTCACAGACATATATGGTGTTGATTTCACTAAAATAATAGTTGTTTAACCACAATTATGAAGTGGTCAGTTTAAAGACTTTGACATAAACAGATGCTTAAATGAACCTTGACTTTATATGACTCAGTTTCCTAAATTGCCAAAAGCCTGAAAATTTCAGATAAGACATAGTTAATTATTTTAATGAAGCACAAAATTACCAGAGTTCTAGGCTAGTTTCTTGTACATGTTACTAACAACAGATCAATATTCTTAAACCCATGTGACTATGAACATAGAAAATAAGGTTAAGTCTCAGGAAGAAAGCAATCATAAATTTTCATGCTCGAGAAGACTGAGAGTAAGCAGTTCAAACAACATTTGAGGTACAGATATGCGCGTAGGTTTAAAAAGAGGAGGAATTGGGGCAGGGGATACATCTCCTTATCAATTGAATGAACCTGTTTGTCTTTATCCAGAATTGGATTTCTGTATTAGGAGGTGCTGAAGAGGTCGGATCTGAGAGATGGGCCAGAGTGGAGTCATTCAGGTTTATGAGCTATCCCTAGATTCATGCATAGAGCCATGATCTCTGATTATTTTCCCAACCATTTACAGAATAGTTCTAACTGAAGGGTGGTGTTCTTATTTAGGGACCCTTTTGTAGGTCAGAAGACCTCATCTCTCAGGGGCTAAGTAGTAGACTGGGTGGGGTAAAGAGTCGAATTGCTTCCAGTGGTATAGCATACAAACCAGTAATTAGTACTGAGATGGGTACAGCAGGCTCGTTCTCCATTCTGAAAGAGAGAGAAAAGAAAGTACATAACCAACTATTGAGGGTTTACAGGCATCCTATCAGAGACTATCGCTATGTACCTACTTTTGGGGAGCATGTCATTTCCTCTTATAATAACCTGGGACCAGGAGCCATCCATCCAGATATCACCTAGAGTCCAGGCTGCCTGTGGACTAAACATAAGAGAGTTTAAGGGTATCCCCTCAGAGGCTCCATGTGCACCTATGTATGGAAAAAGCATCCCCCCTCCATTCTGTAGTGAGGGAGACATGACTTAAAAGAGAGTGGAAAAGCTGGAGATCAGAAGGCAGTCTTCTAGCCAACAGTGCAAGTGAGAACAAGACTTAACCTTGTAGCAGATCCATGCCTTGCACCAAGATGTTACTGGTATATGGGGTATCCAGATGTTCCTTGATTAGTGTGTATGAGGTCAATAATTAGGACACTTCCCCAAGTTTGGCAAAAGAACTATGAAGAGTAGAAAGATAAAGAGTGATTTATTAGCAATCCAAAAGTATATCTCAAGTGTTGAAGCAGGAAGTTGGATAAGGGCCAACTACTCCATCTGTGTGCATTCAACCTACCTGTGTCTTTATTCTTCAAATTGGTTTCTTGTAGGTAGCATATAATTGAATCTTAGATTTATTGATTGATTTATTCATTCATTCATTTTGAAGTACTGGGGCTTTGAACTCGGGGCCTCATGCTTTCTAGGCAGGTACTCTACCACCTGAGCTACTCCATTAACCCTTTTTTGTGTTTGGTATTTTGGAAATAGGGTCTTGTGAACTGTTTACCCTGGCTGGCCTCGAACTGCAATCCTCCTGATACCTATCCCAAGTAGTTAGGATTACAGATGTGAGCCACTGGCAACAGGCTGAATGCTGTTTTATTAATCCATCTAAAATATCTATCTTTTAGTAGGAATTTGAGGTCCACCAGCATTTAATGTAGTTATTAATATGATTGGTTTTAGGTCTTCTATTTTAACGTTTTGCTATTTGTTTTCTATTCCTTCCTCCTTATCTTACTCCTTTTCTTCCTTCTATTAGATTAATGAATATTTCAGAGACTCCCACCTTAATTTATTCATTAGCCATTTAGATATATATCTTCCCCCCCTTCTTTTTCCTCCTTCCTCCCTTTCTTCTCTTTCCTTTCCTTCCTTTTTTATTCCTTCCTCCCTTCTTCAAGTGATGTGTTCCCTAAACTTTTGTGTGTGACAAAACCACAGGGAGGACCTTTTCATTTTGTTTTGTTTGTTTGTTTCTGAGGCGGGGTCTTGCTATGTCTCTCAGGCTGGCCTTGAACTCACAGTCCTCTTATTTCAGCTTTCCAAGGTCGGGGATTATAGACATGTACCACCACACCCTGATGAAAGACCTGGGTTTTTTTTGGCTCCACTTCCTGAGTTTCTGATTGAGTTGATCTAGAATTGATCCTAAGCATTTGAATTTCTAACAGGTTTCTAGACAATATTGATGCTACTGGTTTGGGAACTATTCTTAGATAATATTCTAAGGTATAAATAATGTGTGCTTAGTTTTCACAGTCTATTTGGAATTAATGATACTGTACCACTTCACTTAAAGTACACAAATTTTTCAATTGTATAAGTTCACTTACTGCTTCTACCCAGGTTTACAGTATATTTCTGATATATATTAAAAATACAGGCAATGTAAAATCTACAATGCATTTCAAAAGTTTTACTTTTATCTGGCATATGTATGTTAAAGACATTAAGAGGAAAAAATAGTCTCCAGTATTTGTCCACACATTTACCTTTAACTGTGCCATTATTTCTCCTTGTAGATCCTTTAAAATTTTAGTATTTTTATATCTGTTTGTTTTTCATCTTCAGGACTGTTGGGAAAGATCCTGATGAGTATTAGAGATGCATGTTTTGAAATCTCAGCTATGCAGATGGTATGTAGTTTACAATGAGCCATATGCATTAAGGATTTTTAAAAAATAAGCATTAAAAATGTTTTTAATTGAATATTCTCTGGACAGTTATAAACTCAATACATTAAAAATAAGGGACATATTTATTGAAAATATAACCTTATAATGAAAATGTTTAAATTATTTCATATAATTTTTACTGAGAAAATTAACATTCAAATGATACCTCAAATTTAAGCTTATTAGGGAATCTTATATATTTCTTGGAGCTTTAGTTGCAAAGTAAATAAGCCCCCCCCCAAAATGTATTTAGTTCTCACAAGTGAAAAATAGAATTAAAGTGAGGAGCTTTAGTGAGTTTTTTGTATTCTTGATTCCTAACTAAGCAAATAACAACTAACAAAATTCAGTTCAAATTTCTTTTCCCCTGACCTGGTGCTGGTTTCCAGACTCTCCCTTGGGACCGTTTTGGGAATTATTGTATTTCAGCTCCTCCCTGGGCACTTATACCACTGGACCTCGAGCCCATAGTTGTTCAGAATTGCCCAGCTCACACATTCCCAGGAAGCCCGGGGAAGAAACAACATGTACTTTGATAGAAGTATACCTTTAAACTGTATTCTCTGGTACATTTAACAAGAAATTGAGCACCAAATTATTATAAGAACTAGATAAAGAATTTGGTTTTTATGTTGTTTGAAGCCCAGCAAGTTTATGTTTTCGTGGTTTTTTTTTTTTAACTTTTAGTAAAATACTCCTTTTGGAGTTTAGAATTTTCTCATCAATATTGTTTATATCCCCTTTCTCTGAAAAGAGACATATTTTCATTTCTATGAAGTCTTAGGATCGCCCAAAATCAAGGGTCAGGGAACAAACTGGGTTTCTGCTAAAAGAAAAAAAAATACCAACTAGTTAAGTGAAGTAACCCAGGCACAGAAAGACAAATATTGTATGTCACTTTTATGTGGAAGCTAAAAAATACTGATCTCATAGAAGTAGAGTATAATTGGAGGAGAGGGGGATAGAGAAAGGTTGGATAATGGGTACCAAAATGCTGTTAGATAGGAGAAATAAGTTCTCATGCTCTGCAGCATAGTAGGGTGTCTAGTTAACAATGCTTTATTATATATTTCAAGATAGTTGGAAGAGAGAATCATGACTATTCCTAACAGAAACAAATGATAAATGTTTGAAATGATGGATTTGTTAATATCCTTATCTGATCAGTACACACTGTATGCATGAATCGGAATAACACACCTTAGCCACCCCATAATATGTACGGTAATTATATGTCAATTAATAATATATGAATTAAGGGCTGGGGATGTAGCTCAGTGTTAAGAGTACTAGCCTAGCATGCTGGAGGCCCTATCCCCAGCACTGGAAAAAAAATACGGAAAATAATTAAAATTTTAAAGAGAGAACTATCTACTAGTTTACAAAGCCATCAAACAAAAACTTGGAAACTGACAAGGTAACTGGTATTTAAAATATATTACCAAGATTTTAAAGAATTTTCTAGCCAGAACTTTCTAAAAGTGTTAGCTTAGCCAAGCGTGGTGGCACATGCCAGTAATTCTATACTTGGGAGACTGATGCATGCAAGAAGATGGCAAGTTCAAAGCCAGCCTGGGCTACATAGCAAGATCCTGTCTCAAAACACCTAAAAATAAATAAGTAAATAATAAAGATGTGTGCCCTTGGTAATGTATTAACAGGATTGAAAGACCTAAATCTACTTTAAAGGTAATAATTACAGGAAATTTAGCTTTAAACATTGACCTAACTCTAGACCTACAATCTACCACAGTGATTGGCCATAGTAGATAGTTAATGAGAATAATAATAATAAAATTATTAATGAGTCTATAGTGGAAGGATGGTGGTATAACGGCAAATGCAGTTATTGGCATTTGGAATGAGAAAGGTCTATTTCTAAATCTGTGGTCAGCTGTTTTTCTAGGTATGTGACCCTGGCCAAACACCAAGCATTCTTAGCCTCAGTTTTCCTGTCTAGGACATGAGAGCATTATTTTTTCCCTTATGGGTTATTCTTTAAATTAAATGAAATAACCATAAACAGTTTCCAGATCAAATTGCTAAGAATTGTATAACTTGTATCTTAGTCTCTTATTTTATTACATTAATAATAAAAGCTCTATGAATTTAGGGTAAAACACTGAAACAGAATTCCCTTCCAATAATAGTAATGTTATCTGTTGTAATTACTGATCAGCTGATCTATAGCAACACTTTTTCTGTCTCAGAAGTAAATCATTTAAAATTTACATTTTAAAGGTAAGAATAAGCTTATTGTAGTGGTACATGCCTATAACCACAGCACTCAGGAGGCTAAGGCAAGAGGATCATGGGTTTGAGGCCAACTCAGGCTACATAGCAAAACTCTGTCTCAGTCAATCAATCAAACCTGCAAACAAACATACAAACAAAAAAGTTAAAGAATGTACCCAAGGGATGATAATGTTAAGTGCTAACTGTGGCTTATTTATCTTTATTTTGTTGGCTTATGGTTTTGTTTTGTTGTGTTTTTAATTATAGTTCAATATGGATCACGTTAATGTTGAAGAATTCTATGAGGTTTATAAAGGAGTAGTGTCTGATTATAATGTAAGTATTAAGGTAAATGTAAAGCACAGGTACTGAAAACAATTTATATATCTCAAATCTTCAGCCTCTCAGTATATTTCATAATTATTGAAAGTGTTCCTTAGTATAACTTATAAACTCTGTGTCTGATAAGAGACTAATATCCAAAATACAAGAAACTCAAGAAAATTGAATAGCAAGTTTAAAAAAAACTAAACCCCCACATTTCCTATTGTTTTGTATAAGTTATATTTTGTCTGGAATTTTTTCTTCTGCCTGAAGAACTTCCTTTAATATTTCTTGGGAATGAGGCTGCTGATAGCACATTCTCTCAGCTCTTGTTTGTCTGGCAAAGTCTTTATTTTTAAAAAATATAGATTTCTAGATTGACAGGTGTTGGTTGTTGTTGCCATCCCTGTCTTTGTTCTGCTTTTATGTAATGCATGTCCTTTTTTTATTTCCTAAGGTTTTTGTTTTATTTTGTTTTGGGTTTTTTTTTTTTTAATAATGAGATTTTGATGAACTTCATTTTTCCACTTCTCCCAAGAGTCATAGTCCTGTGATGCCTACCATTCATTGTCTAAAAGGTGTTGTTTTGTATACTTTGTCTAGTTTCTAGATGTTTAATGTGTGAAAATAAATCAAGTACCTGTTATTCTTTATTGCTAGAATTCATTATGGTTTTTAAAACTTTTTTGAGAGGAACACTGTTTTTTATGTTTTAGGAATGTTAATGTGATAACACTGTTTTCAAGAAAGAGGGATCTCTGAAGGGAAGATGTACTGGAAGATAATTTCAAATAACTAAAGTATCAGGTGGTAGAGCATTACATTAAAGTAGTGGTGGTAGGATTGGAAATGAAAAGATGTATCTAAAAATATTTTTACAGGAAAATTGGATGGAATTTGGGGGGCTGCTTGGTGTGTGGGATTCAGGTGAGAAGTCAAAGGTGACTAGCACTTTGAGATTAGTGAAATGGTGTATCAATTAAAAGAGGCAGGATAATATATTATTGAATTATATTGATTCCTTTGTATTCTCTTATGTATCCCAGGATATGGTGACAGAAATGTATTCTGGTCCTTGTGTAGCAATGGAGATTCAACAGAACAATCCTACAAAGACATTTCGAGAGTTCTGTGGACCTGTTGATCCTGTAAGTTATTTTTAAACTGTGAATCTAGTTTGAGTTACTCATTAATGAAATAATTTAACAGGTTTGATCTTTTTGTTTCTTCCTTAAAAGAAATAATATAAAGTGTAGATTTATATATAAAATTATTCAAAATAATATTTTATAAGAAAAATAATTCAACTAGTCTAGTGACAATACAGAATATACAGAAGCCTCTTCTATGGAACTTTTTAAAATTGTTTCTTCTTGCTAAATTATCCAGGTAAGTAAATGTTGCAAGCTTTATGATACAGATTTTCTAAGGAATTATCTTTTGACACAGGTTTATAAATAAATCTCCAATTGTGAAGAAAATCCATATGGTGGCATCATATCAGATACTTAAATCATTATGAACTGTAGGACTTATCTAGATAGGAGAAAGCAATGATCTAAGTGTATACATATAAAGAGTTTTTAGAGCACTACAAATTCAGTTAATCCAAATGTTAAAGTATTACATAGTAAAGGAGCAATCAGTGTGACTTGCAGGTAATTTAAAAACCTTTGTTAGAGGAAGAGAGTTGTAACAGGAATTTGATTTGAAAGACAAATCAGGGCACAAAGACAATGGGAAAAGCTCTAACTCATGTCCAAAGGCAAAAACGAAATACTTTGCAAATTTTATATTACATATAGCAAGCATATTTCCTTGGCTTCAAAGGGAAATACATTTCTAGAAATACGCTTTCTTAAATAGAGGAGCTAAGGTAGAGAATAGCTTTAAAAGTCAAAATAAAATAGTAGATTCTGTATAATTTGAATCCCACATTGTAGGAAATAGTCTCATTTTGAGTATACTGAATTGTTCTTTTGATATATCTAGAGCAAAGTAAATTAGTAGAGATTAAAGACTGAAGCCCTAGCCATAGAAAGGAGTAGACCTGATGACACCAATAAAGTCAGCATGGCCTCCTTGATATCTTTCAGGGAGAAAGAAGAATATATATAATATACATATATAGTAGCATATATGTGTATATATGTATATATATATTAAATTCATGTTTTTATAAAATTGTGGTAATTGCAGTGGGATTTTGTTTTAGAGAATATTGGGAGAAAATGGTGGTGATGCTAAGTATTAAATGAGTGTTAATCATAAGAAGATAGGAAGGGATACTTTTTGTCTTGAAAAGAAAACTGTACTCGGGTTTTGCTATTTTTATCATTTTAAATTCCTGATTTCTGTTTGATGACCAACGGGAGAGGGGTTGTTCATTTTTTTTAAGGTAATTAAAATTATGAGTGATTAGCTGACCAAACAAATAAGAATTCAAAAATAGAACTAAAAAGGAATGAGAATGTTTGCTCATTCTGTAATTCTTATTTATTCAATAAACAGTTATTTAACCTGCACAAGAATTTGTGAATCTAAAGACAGAAGCTTCAGCTGGGTGGGCTGGCATGTGCCTGTAGTCACAGCTACTTGGGAAGCATTAGTGGGAGGATTGCTTAAGCCCATGAGTTTCAGATCAACCTGGACAACATTGACAGACCTCCATCTTAAGAAGAAGAGGGAAAGGGAGAAGGAACTTCATGTTTCAAAGAGCTTACAGCCTAAGAATGAACAACCACAAGTAGCTAATTTTCATACACTTTGGCAATTGCATTGTTAGCTATTTTCAGGTACTTGGAAACAGAATAATAGCACTTAACTCAGTCTGAGTATGGATAACAAAGGTCTGGGGAAACTTCTTGATGAGCATGATATCTGGACTGAATGGTGAAAATGAGTAGAATTGAGCTTGGTGATGAAAGTGGAAAGTGATAGGATTAAAGTTATGGATGCGTAAAAAAGCATTACTTTTGGGCTACAGTAAGCTCTTTACTATTTCTGGAGCTATGGTACCAACAGGGAATGGCAGAGTTTAAGATTATTGGGAGGAAGTGGGGAATGAGCAAGGAGGAGTTACAGAAAGAAGAGTCATTAAAAGAAAAAAAAATGCTGATTCTCTCTTTCTAGATATTTATGCAATGAACATTTCCTAAGTAAGTAGTTTGTGCCAGGCTCACTGCTAGGTTCTATGATTTGGTATAATAAAGTTGACTAAAACAAGTTATCATTCTTTAAAGAGTTAATAATCTCATGATATCTCAATTTGGAAACCCTCAGGGCCATGAATCTTGCCACATTTAGTATAGTTGAAATTACTCCATTGTGATTTTTGGTTTTGTGTTTTTCATTTTACTTGCTTATAAGCCCCTCATAGTTATAGAAAATCATACCACATGGATAAAACTAATTTTTGTACATTGACTTTTTATCCTGCCACTTTGCTGGAAGTGTTTATGATATCTAAGAGTTTTTTGGTGGAGAGTTTAGTATCTTTTATACAAAAGATCATATCATCTGCAAATAGGGATGGTTTGATTCCTTCTTTCCCTGTTTGGGTCCCCTTTGTTTCTTATTACTTATTACCTCCTGTCTTATTTCTCTGGCAATAAATCCTGTTGAAATTGTTTTTCAGTTTCAACAGGGGGATGGGGATGGAGGAGCATGATGATGGGATGTGGGGGTGAATCTAACCTAGGTACATTGTAAGCATATATGTAAATGTCACAATGGAACCCCCCTGTACAATTAATATATGCTAATAATAATGTTTAAAAATTAAACTTATTTAATGTGTAAAGAAATTATTAAAAGCAGTTGTCTTTTAAGAGGTAAAGTTATGATATTTTAGTTCTACTTTCCTTATTTTACAATTTTCTTTAAAGTTCTTATATTGCCTGCATAAGAAAAAATGCTTTTTATTTTATCATAAACCTGAAAGTTAGTGAACTTTTAAATGTAGAATCATAAACTTATTAGAACTTGTTTTCCCCTTGAGTCTTAGGAGCCTGAGTTATACACTCATTTCTAAGTGCAGATCAGGATGGCAAGCAGTACCTATCTTTGATAGGTGTTTTAAAATCAGAAGAAATATAATGGTAGTACAGTCAAACTACAGTCTCAGGAAAATAAAATAGTGCTTTGCCTCTGGTCTCAGACTTCTTTTGGCTTATTTGATCTTTTCTTTCTCTCTTTTCTACCTACCCTTCTAACAAATAGGTATTGAATGCTTTCTACACGATAGCCATTATGCTAGGTGCTATTAAGTTTTATCTTAATGATCAAACAAAGATAGTTCTTTTCTTTGAATAATTTATGGTCTAGTTCTAGAAAAAGATAGACTTGCAATAGGAATTTCACTTAAATTGCCAGGTGTGCCAATCTAGTCATGTATTAAATTATCTTAAAATAATTTAGAAAATCATTTTTCACTACCTAGTCCATCCCCATATCTAAAAAAAAGGCTTAGGTCACAGTACCTGTAAATATGATTAGTGCTTGGAAGACTACCAATTACATAATGTTCATGCAATTAATATTTAGTGAATTAATGAATAGACTGGCTATGTTTTTATGTAGACCTAGCATCTAACATTAAGTCATTGTTTTAATGTATTTTTAATGTGAGTTTTGAGCAAAATTTCTTCTAGTCTCTATAGAGTGATGTCCAACAAGAGTAGTTATATAAGACAATTCATTAGAGAATAGGAGAGATAATAGACCTTTAATTTCCATTTTATTCTCTAAAAGGTAAGAGTGTTTTAATAAAAGTTGATGGGTGGACTGATAATAATAATTCACATAACCTTTTAAAATATATTCATATTTTGATATAGTCACATATTTCACTGATATGGTTGCCTAAAAAATTTTGGAGGCCAGCTGCATAGAATGGAAAAAAAATTCCAAGTTTCTTTACAATTAGAGATGGATTCATCTGTAGAAAACAAATCCATATAAGCAGAAATCTCATTCCAAGTTTGCCTCTGAAAAGGTTTGGATCACACCTGCTGAAGAATTTCACTGTTGAGTAGGTTGGCAGTTTTCCTGCTAAACCATTAGGAAACTCAGAATTACCAAAGAAGGAGTAAATTGTCTGGAAAAGTTGTATAGAACACATTTGCTCTTGGACTGCTGGGTCTTTCAAGCCAAAATAATCTAACGTAGTATATTAGTCAGTTTTGCATTGCTATAATAAAATTCTTGAGGCAATTACCTTAGAAAGACCTTTTATTTAGATCACAGTTCTGGAGGTTCCAGTCCAAGATCAACTGGCTTCATTGCTTTGGGCCTCTGGTGAGGGTACCAGATGGCAATGGTGGGAAGTAGGTGTCAGAGAAAATAGCTCATATCATGAGCCAAGAAGCGGCAGACTGAGAATTCTGAGCCTACAATCCCCTTTGAGGGCACATCCCATGGTGTAAGGGCCTCCCACTAGGCCTCACTTCTTAAAAGTCCCTAACACCTCCCATTGTCATCACCCAGGGGACCAATCCTTTAACATAGGGAGTTTTGGAGACAATGTCTGTATTCAAACCATAGTATGTGAATATGATTTTTTAAATGAAAGCCATGTCCTGAAAACAATTCATGTATATCACATTATTTAAATATAAAGAATCTTACTTAAGGGAATCTGAATATTTTCATAGTGAATATCCACCCTCATCTGCTCTCATAGTTTAAAAACCTTTACCCATCATTAGATTGGATCAAGGGCAACTTTTTAATGCACAAAGTATGGCTCTATACACATTTTAATAAAGCTTTCCATTCACCTGATTGCCATTCTATCTTTTACCGATTTTAAAAGAGTAGAAATATATTTTGGAAATGTAACTTTTTCATCAACATATACATATATGAAGTTGTAGTAAATGGGGATGAGAAATGAATGGGAGCTAATGTGTTGCTTCTGTCATCTGTTGACTTCTTTGCCTTATTCTTTATGCATTGAAGATTTTGAAACCCTTATCTTTTTTCTCTTCATCCCAATTTCTCCCATCAAGTTGTGGTTTGCAAGATTTGGGATTATGAAACAAAAAATATTTTTCTCTTTCACAGTGGTAGGGATGGAACCCAGGGCCTCACATATGTTAGGCAAGTACTTTACCACTTGAGCCACAACCCCAGCCCTAAAATATTT